CAAAAGGTGTTTTTGTACTTTCTGCATTTGCATACATATTCTTTGTTATAATCTTTGAATTCCCTTTGTTAAATGAACTAATCTGAAAGGATTTCTTTTTATTTTTAAGAAGTTAGCCTCAAGTTTTTATTTTTACTTCCTATGTAGACATCGTAGTTCTAAATTTTGATTTGAATCATGTACTTTAATGCTGAAGTTTAATTTGGTTTAGATAAATATTGAATTAGTAAATGCTTAATGAGATGATAACATGGTAAATTTGGATCCTTATAGCGTGCTTAAGTACGCTTACAATTTTTTGGGTTTTATGATATATATAACCTTACTTCTCCTTTTTGTACTTTTAGTTTCTTTTTGTTCGATAACAGGAGACGTCTGGAGGTGGTCGATTTATGTTATTCCTAATTATTGCTGCAGATACTGGTGATAAGTTTTTGAAGACTCAATTGAGTGAAAAATGCTGATGGATCTCGTGGAAGTTGGAGTCTTCATTTCTGAAAAATTAATGGTATAGATGCTAGGTTCCTAGGTTGGGCAGTAAGGGTCGGAGAAGGGCTGGATCTTCGTGACTCATCCCATAGCAAGCAGTTCTGTGTAATGGGTTCCTTTTCTGGCAGCTCTGAAATTGTTGAAATTAAGGAAGAACAGATTCTTACTCGTGGACGTCAAACATTTTCTCATGTAAGAGCACAAGACAGAGGTAGGAAGCCTCCAATTCAGAATAAAGGAAGTAAGCAATCTCTGGAAAATGATATTACTACACTCTTTGAGGGAATAAATCTCAGGTCATCCAAGAGTCTGGATCTCTTGGACTCGCGAAGAAATCCCTCAAAGAAGCCAATGAGGCCTGGCGGATCTCTTTCACCGGGAATTGGATTTTCTCAGCCCGTGTCTCTGAAGCAGGCGCTAAGGGGGATCTGCATTTCTCACGCAGCAGAGATGGCTGCCATGAAACGGTTATCAGCACCAGCATCTCCTAGGATCTCAGAAGTCGGGATGATTTCAAATCTGTACAGGTCTGTTGTAATTGAAGCTGGGGAATCTGGCCTCACTCTGCCTGAAGGTGGAGAGCAGGGACTTGAAATTTCTCTGGTGCCAGAAGAAAGTACCTCATGTTATTTGGAAAAGGCTCCACAGCACCTTCAGAAGCCTGTGGCCAAGTTCCCAACCCAAAGTGTCCATTCTTCTCATAGTTTTGGGGTTAAACTAAACACAAAGAGTGCAGAATGCACTTCGGGTGAATCTGATCGACCCCTTACTGATTGTAGGGAAAATAAAGTTGGAACATCTCTTGGGAAAGGAGAGACTGCTACATGTTCTGCCAAGAAACTGCCTCAGCACTTATTGGAGCCTAAGATGAAGCCACAAAATCAGAGTGCTGATTCTTTGTATTTTCCTGGTGCATCAGTCATTGGGACTGTACAATCTTCTCATGGGCATCATGACATTCTGCCTGCATCAGAAGTTGAGGATCAATCACTAGAAACAGCACCCTTGCCTGAAGAAAGCCACACTATAGTTTCTGCTCTATCAAATAATGGTGTTGGTGATATTGCATTGAAACCAAACCACAAAATTTCTGATCCAGAAAAGGTAGCAAGTGGTTTAAATAAGAATTCAGCATCGCCCTTAAAAGTACAAAATAAAGCAGCATCTAAGCTGAGACACAAAGGCAGGTTGCAGATTGTACCTTCATCCAGTCCTGGGAAAACCAAAAAGGACATCAAGTCAACAAGAAGCACCTCTCGGGTAGTCAAACCAGTCATCAGGAACAAGAATCTCACCATAAAGAAATCAAAGAAGATACCTGTATCGACCACTGAAGATTCTAATACACCTCATGAAGTAAATAGTGGTTTCGATCAACGATCTGGACAGTTGATCTGTCAAAGGTGTCAGTGTGCTTTTATAGATGCAACAGATGATTCTAACAAGGATCCCCCTGTAATAACCAATTCTAAAGTGACTACAAGCAAGAATGACACGAGCAAACAAGACTTCATTCCAAATGATTGTGACAATAAAGGCACTCCTATAGAAACTAACACGATCTCTAAATCCAGAGAGAAAGGGGATTTTTCACAAAGCTCAAAGAGCAGCATTTGTGATTTTAGTAGCAGCACTACAAGCCTCAGTGAAGAGAGCAGTCTAAGTGGGTCGAGTTGCAGCAGTAGACCGCACATGTCAAAGGACTTAAGGTGGGCATCCATTAACTGCTTAAAAACTCAATATGGATTCCTCGGCCTGACTCATTTTAATTTGTTGAAGAAACTCGGTTCTGGGGACATTGGTACAGTTTACCTTGCTGAATTGATTGGAACAAAATGCATGTTTGCAATAAAGGTTATGGATAATGAATTCTTGGCAAAAAGAAAGAAGATGCCTAGGGCTCAAACTGAGAGAGAAATTCTGAGAATGCTGGACCATCCATTTCTCCCGACGTTATATGCCCAGTTTACTTCAAACAATTTGTCATGTTTAGTTATGGAGTATTGTCCAGGTGGAGATCTACATGTACTTCGCCAGAAGCAGCCTGACAGATATTTTTCCGAAGGCGCAGCAAGGTGTATTATAATTTCAAGGCCCATCTCTAGCATCTTGCATAGTTGCTCTATAAAAATTCAATCAACAATGATATTAGTATTGAAAGTGCCAATCATGTCTATTAGTTTAATTATAAATCAATAAGATGGTACAAATGCTAAGAAATACGAGGCAAAAGTTTAAAATTTTTTTGGAAGTTATTGAAACTGCTGTCAGTAGATTTTATAGACTTTATAGCTGAAAATAGGAAATTGGAACTCTAAATTGATCTGATTAATGTTATAGAGAGTTGGGGGATAAATTGTGGATATAATCTTACTACATATATTACATTCTTAGTTTAACTAGGGTATAATTGCTAATCGCTGTCTGATACTTAAGAGTACTATGTCTCTGGGTTCGTAGTGTACTTAATACTGTTGGATGCCTAAGTACTTTGACTTTCACATTGTAAAACTCAGATTATAAACACACTATGATCACTGTTGGGGAATTCCTGCAATTTCTCCCAACATAATAATGGAATCCTAAAAAATCTGTATTTCTGTCTGGTGAGTGCCGAATAAGGAAGAAAAGAGAATCTTGTAGCAGTCCGCTTATAAGTATTACACATGAACTCTTTGATGTTTAACATAAAAATCATCGTAGGGAGGGAAAAGAAAATAGTATATTATTTGGACATCTTGTAACTTATTCTTTCTGTTAGCTTTTGTATTACTATTCTTCTAATACCTGGTACTTGCAGATTCTATGTTGCTGAGGTTCTCCTTGCTCTTGAATATTTGCACATGCTTGGTATTGTGTATCGAGATCTCAAACCAGAAAACATTATGGTCCGAGAAGATGGTCACATCATGCTAACAGATTTTGATCTGTCACTTAGATGTTCTGTCAGCCCAACCCTCCTAAGATCATCTTCATCAAGAATGGAGCCACCTAGGATATCTGGACAATGTGCAGGTTCTAACTGCATTGATCCTTTCTGTTCTGGACCATCGTGCCAGGTTTCGTGCTTTAGCCCTCGACTTTTACCTGCCACGGCAAGAGCAAGGAAGCTAAAAGCTGAAGCTTCTGCACGGGTTAGGTCCTTACCTCAGCTTGTGGCTGAGCCAACAGATGCACGGTCCAATTCCTTTGTCGGCACACATGAATACTTGGCTCCAGAGATCATCAAAGGAGAAGGACACGGGAGTGCTGTTGATTGGTGGACATTTGGGATTTTCCTGTATGAGCTTCTTTATGGGAAGACACCTTTTAAAGGTGCTGGAAATGAAGACACATTAGCCAATGTTGTATTTCAGAACCTCAAATTTCCCGATAGTCCAATTGTTAGTTTTCAGGCAAGGGATCTCATTAGAGGTCTGTTGATGAAGGAACCTGAGAATCGGTTAGGCACGGAAACAGGAGCTGCTGAGATCAAACGGCACCCATTTTTTGATGGCCTAAACTGGGCACTGATACGCTGTGGCGTTCCACCTCAAATTCCAGAGTTCTTTGATGATGGAATTTCACATATAGCATCTCTAGAGAAGGGGAAAAATTTTCTGGATTTCAGGGATGCAGGAAAGCATTTAGAATTTGAGTTGTTCTAACCACTATATATTTATCGGAAAAAGATTCTGCCCCATAGAGGTATTCCTTAATCCTCCCGCTGTCTTGTATTAGAATGTCCTGCTTATGATAGATATTGTTTGAGATATCGTAGAAAGTTTGCCCTATGAGTTATGACACCAGGAATTTACTAGATCGTTACAATTCAATACGTAAATATTTCTCTTTGCACTAATGCATGGGTAAGTTTATAGTTGAAAGACATGCTTGGCATGCAGGACTTCGCAGTATAACAAAATATTAGCTTTCCCCTCCCTTAATGCCTAGTCCAGTACTATTCAATCCAATCTAACAAACATGTGTCTTAATAACTTTTTCCAGGTTGGTTATAATCTGGGAATTGCATATTTTCATCTATGGAGACGATGCTGGCCCACCACAACCGAAGAACTGATAATTGAGACGATAAAGGAATAGGGTTGGAACAAAGATGAGCATATAAGAAGGGAAAACAATGTATCATCATATGTATTCATGAACAGTGACCCCTGTATTATTTCACCTAGCTATAAACCTACCTTTTCATTCCGAGTCCCTTGAACTATTATATAAATCTACCAATGGAGGCGAGAAATGAATTAATTTGGCTGTGCCACCCGTTGCAGCCTATTGTGCACAACTTTTTTTTTCTGCAGCCCACTAACTTCTCTAAATAATACCAGTACCACCACAAGAACCATAGAACTGAAAATTCCTTCATCTTTCCTGCAAGTTTTTCTCTGAAACTTGTATCGTAGAATCCGAGTTTGAATATGAATCTGAAAGAGGAACCAGGAAGATATCGAGTGGGATTTTGATGAAGGAAAGGATAATCACGTACGAGGAAGCAGCAAGGTTAGGGAAATATGCAATCGACGGATGATGTGAATTCATGCCCCCCGGAAAAGAAGGAAGTCATGGAGCTCTCAAGTGTGCTGCATGCACCTGTCATAGGAATTTCCTTAGAAAGGTGGTGCGCCAATTTCAAGCTTACTGTGATTGCTCCTCCAAACCCTCAACTCCAAAGTAAAATTTACAAAATTGTTGCTAGATATGAATCTTCAATAATTGTGCGGTGCACGTGCATCAAAAGAAACTGTAGAAGTAAAGGGTTAGGGTTATTACTTATTAATTGCATGAATGTTATCATTAGTTTAAAAAGTATTCAAGTTTAGTCCGGTCCACGAGTTCAACCTCTTTGAACCTTAATTTATTTAATGCTGTGAATGCTCTTTCTTAAATATCGATCTCATTGCCATAGCCTCTTTATTCTACCCATGACTGATGACTCTAAGGTGGTTTCAATACTTTATTAAAAAGATTATTCAAACCTAAGCCCCAAATGGTAAATAGATACACTTTTTACATGTTTGAATTGGATAAGACAAGATTAAAGAAGGAAAAAAATTTAATATCTCGTGTCATCCTCAATACCATAATGTGTAAGAATTAAGAAACGATGGTTCCCTTTTGAATTTGAATGCCCAAGAATTTTGTTAAAACTTTTGATGCTCTTACAATTTTGCCCACGTATGGTTAACTAAAAATAAGATTTATAGTAGATTTTAATTTTAAAAAAATTATGAAATGTGTGGTTGAAAAATTAATAAAAGATGTCGATTCCAAAGAATGTGATTTTTATCAATTTTGTTAGTTAAATCAAGCACGGGTGTAATTTTGTCACAAATTCCGATGTCTTGTGTAGTATAAAGCATGACGTACAATATAAAAAAGGTAATTGCCACAATACTCTCTAACCTTTGCCTGTTTTGTGGAATACTCTATAACCTTTCATTTTAACGTAAAATCTCTCCATTAAAGTAATCTTGAAGCCCCAAATTAATAAAAATGTGGAGGACATTTTTTCTCATCATCTCCACCGTTAGGTAATATCAAAAACAATAATTTCTTGAGTGGGTTTCATTTTAGGACATGAAAATGGAAGAAAATTGAAGTTAATTTATACAAAGAAATTGTATTTGGTTGTAATACTGGGACTCAGTATGATTTTAGATGGAGAAATTGCCTTTTTATTTTATTTCGTTTCCTCGTTTAAGATGAATGAGCTTGACTTTTCTACGGCATAATGACAGCGAAATTGGTATGATTTCATTTTCCCACTTCTAACCTATTTTTACCGTTGGTTTGAAATTGTTATATACATCTGCATTGAGGAGGAGGAGGAAGAAGACACGTTCAAATGTTCATGTGCAAATCAACCTCGAAATTGGTACATGTTACAGAATACAACCTTACCCTTATAAATTTTGTGGAATACAAGCTTGAAATTGATAAATCTTGGCAATCTTTGCACAAATCAACCCATCAGCAGCAGCAACAGCAACAACAACAACAAAAGACACCTTACATCCAAACTAGCGAACCCTTGTCTCACCAAAGAACAGAAATCAACACCAAGCAGCCCTAACTAATAGCAATTGCATGAAGGAAAAAAACTAACATTATCAACAACCAAGTTATTTTACAAATCCATATTAAACATCATCTTATTTGTTTAAATACTAATCTGAAAACGTGAATATTCAACTTATCTATGCGGAATTTTTAGTACAATGACATATAGAGAGACTTCTCCTGTATACAAAAAAGTGAAAATTGTGTGATGATTTTAGGCCCTGTTTGATAAACCATTTTTTCTATGGAAGTTGGAAANTATTTTATAATTTTAATTTTAAAACCCAAATCATTTTTAAAACCCATTAGCCCATTTTAATTTGAAGCAAATGAATATACTTTATATAGTGTTGTTGTAATATTAATATATAGTTTTTGATATTTGTATGTATTGAATTAATCTTATTGAACTGCTAGTTATTTATATGTTTTTGAATTGGGCTACTTTAATTTGTAAAAATTACGAATGAAATGTCATTAGTTGCATTAATGTAGTGTTACTGTAAATATTAAAAAAATTAATTATGGTACGGAACCGAACGGTTCCATAATTATATTTGGACCCGACGGGTCCATTTATTAAATACCCGAAAGTTTTGGGTCGGTTCGGGTCTCTTCAGAATCGAACCGAACCGACCCACTGACAGCCCTAGTTTAATGGATAATTTTCATGTAAAACAAAGTCAAACGAACACTAAATTTTGATAAAAAAAATGATTTTTTAGTTCTTTTTTTTTTTTACTTTTTGGCAATGAAAACAAATTTTATAACCAAATTGTGAAAAAAAATATGACTTTAATGAACAATTTTCATATAAAATAAAGTCAAACGAACACAAAATTTAAAAATTTTTCTGGTGAAAAATTATACCAATCAAACACACTTAATTAATAATTCCCTACAAAATAATTTCTAGACAATTATTTTTTTGAAATTCATTTTCTTTTTACCCTTACAATCAAACGGACTCTTAAATTTTTTGGTGGAATATTGATGTTCCACATAAATCTCTCTTTATTGGTTCCTCCATTACATCTATATAAAATATTAAAACAATGAAATTCAAATAATTATACTATATAATTGAGTACCATATACTAAACACGTCTTTATTTTTTGGTTGGTGTTAGACTCAACAGTGAACCCGTCTTAACCATTGAACCAATCTTTAGGAGCCAATGACTATTCTTTGTTTTCGACCAATATCGCATTTAGATTAGCGGAGTGCTAAACAACGCTTTTCTTTATATTTTATGTGGCTCCTGCGTTTCTGGACCTACAAATTGCGATATCAGACCCTCTAAATCTCATTTTCCCATTTTCAAGCGAGCGGAGCACGAATCGTAATTTCAGGATTCCACACGAATAATCACTCTAACTGGTTGTCTCCTCCGCTGCAGCCGCCGTCAACGCCACCACTGCTGAAGGTGATTCTTAACTCAATCTGGTCGCATTGCCGTGTATATATATATAATCAACATAATGGCATATTTGATTTAGATTTTTTGAGAATATATTTTGTGAAAAATGATATTTTTGGAGAACATTTGGTTGAAAAGCACGTGGTTGAAAATGAGTTTGAGAAAAATAATTTTTAAAGAATATGTACAAAACATAGCTGTCTCTTCAGTTATTCATGAATTTGAATTTTGATGTAGATCAGCGTCTATATGCTGGTAGTATGAGATGGGAGGTTCTATTATTATTAGATTCTTCTTTATTTAGGGGTTTTCCTATTTCCGAGCGCTTCACTTAACTTCTAGCTTTTAGTTTTTGTTCGCTGGGGTGAGGTGGGTGGTTTTAGTTTTGATCAGGGTAAAAACTGCTCGCGTCGTCTTCACATTAGTAATTATGCATTGTGTGCAATACAAAGTGGAGCTCTGTGCTGCTACACCTCATAGTTCTGAAGTCCTGCTCATTTTATTTTCTTAATGAATACCCTAAAAGTAACTTAATAAACTTCAATTTGGATATTGAATTTTTAATTGGTCAATGTTTAGAAGTATCATGAATGTTTCTTGCTGATAGGCGTCCAGCTTCCCGTTTCCTACAAATTCATACCATATTTGTTGACACAGACACAAGTGGAAAACGTAGTAGACTGAGATGAAAGTGTGATAAAATTAAGAATTAGAGCTTATTTTGACGATTACATTATCTCCTTCGCTTTCTGGTGAATCTTTCTTGTTTCCTTTATAATCCATTGTATATGGTGAACATTGTTTGCAGATGCATTTGTAAGTACTTAAAATGGGCGGTAAATAATTATTAAGTTTCTTAAGATGCATTCAGTATTAAGGAAAAAGCAAACTATATAAAATTTACTGGGCGATTAGCCGATAATGCTCAATGTGTTACGGCTAAGCCAGTCAACATAGGTTGGTTCTTTATGTCATTGAAACTATTCCATTCTTCAGCGAGCGATATTTTGGTAGTTACCCTTGAATTTTAGTAAGTATTCTTGAGACCCATTTTTCTAAAAAATGAGTTTTGTAATAGTGATTTTGTTAAGAATGTGTAGTTAAAAAGTAGGGGAAAAGTTTTAGGTTTACATGCAAAATTATTTTATTGGAAAAATGTATGATTGAAATGCGTTTGAGAAAAAAATGAGTTTCTCGAGAATGGGGGTCAAACATGGGCTCAGTTTTTCCTTTGGACAAAATTCGAAATAGTTCTAGGTATATTTCAAATCCCACTGATTCCCCATTTGGTTTTGTTATAAACTGATCATCATTTGTGCTTTTTCATAACCATCTTTAGTATAATCCAGGTGTCACCAAATTTATTCCCAATTTGAAGCGGGCATTGAACTTCATTTTGTTGTATTTAGGCACTGAATATGCAATTTTGCTATAATCAAGTCACTATGTCCAGTTAATAAGCTTGGCAAACAGGCTCACTGGTGTGGCAGTTGATGATTTGTGTCGACATGAGAGTTATTTATCTTGTTTCAACATCTGTCATTTTTTCCTTTTGCAATCCAATAGAGTTGGATGAAATGATTTCATTGTAACTAAAGTATAAATTGAGTGACCTAATTATGACACAATGAAGTTCAGATACATAGTTAAAATTGATTGAGGCATGCTCTTTTGAACAACCATGATGTGATGAAAAACCAATGCTTTCTTGGTAATGTGAAACATGCATTAGCTTATGTACTGCAAGAGATCCCCTCCAGGATTGAGAAGTTCAGTCTCATTCTTTATGGTTTGCTAAATTCTATAGTTAACCATGAGATGTTTATTAGGATGTTTCAAAGTCACAAGGGATCAATAGCAATATTTTCAAACAGTACGTGGCTAATTTGCAATTTTCCTTGTTTATTTTATTCACTTTGGGAAGTGTAATGCCATCTTTATCCAAGAATGTGTTGTGTTTTGATTTTTCTAAATCGACAACGTACGCACTAGCTGATTTAATGTGACTAGAGAACCCAATCCAGATTTCTGGGAGGGTTTCAGGGTTCACTAATCACTACTGATGTGAACCCTGAAACCTTTTGTTGTGACAAATAGTTGTTAAATTATTAGTTGGGATCAACAATAAGATTTGTTGGGAATGTGCTTCCTGTGCATCTCTCAATGCTGTCATTTAAAATAGAAGAGGACAAACTTTTACTTGGGTCATAAACTTGAAAAAAGAGCGAATTTCCTTGTCTAGACAGGAAAGATCAAGCATCTTATTTTCCTTACAATTGAAAGAAGCAAGATAGACTGAATTGGTTGGTGGATGATCATTTTTGTGGTAAATAGTACATAAAAGCTCAGCATCAGACATTTTTTGCTCTTTGCTGACATAATTACTCATCGTACATTTCCCATGTTTCTTGCAGAGGAAATCATGCCTAAGGTGAAGACAAACAGGGTAACTTACCCAGAGGGTTGGGAACTGATTGAACCTACGCTGCGTGAACTACAAGCAAAGATGAGAGAAGGTTTTAATTGTTTCTATGCACGTCTTGTTTTAAAAAAATTTCCACCTTGGTTCTGTTGGTTACTCAGTTTGTGTACTTGGTGGCATTCTTTTGTTTTATTTTTTGCAGCTGAGAATGATCCTGATGATGGTAAAAGAAAATGTGAAGGCCTGTGGCCTATTTTCAAAATAGCTCATCAGAAAAGTCGCTATGTTTTTGACCTTTATCACAAGAGGAAGGAAATTTCGAAGGAATTATATGAATTCTGCTTGGAGCAGGGTTATGCAGATCGTAATTTAATTGCAAAGTGGAAAAAGGTTGGTTAATCATGCTAATTTTTTTTTCTTCTTGTTGGAATTATGAAATCTTGGCAAGTATCATCTTTCATTTTTTTTCTGTGTATTGATCCTCTCTTTATCAATATAAGAGAGATAAGAAATGATTGATAGTCTAAGGATAGATAACATTCCTCATGATTATTGGCTCTGGCATTTCAAACCGTGTGAAAGGTGAACTAACTTAAGAACGTTATGTTTGACTATTCTGTCTTTGGAAATAACAAGTAATATGCTTTCAGTTATTGTAAATTGTTCAAGAATTATGATCCATGTTAGTATAAAACCATTACTGTGTGCTCTTATTTGTGTGCATTATAGATTATCAAGTAAAATCCCCTGTTTTGTGCTTGAATTGCAGCCTGGTTATGAAAGGCTCTGCTGTTTAAGGTGCATGCAGCCTCGGGATCATAACTTCCAAACCACATGTGTGTGCCGAGTCCCCAAGCATTTGCGGGAGGAGAAGGTTATCGAGTGTGTACATTGTGGTTGTACAGGTTGTGCGAGTGGAGACTGAGTAGTTCTCTGGCAAAGTCAAACTAAAAGTAAGCCACCGTAACAGAGGTTTATGATCTCTATTAAGGGCAGAAGGCTTACCTGATCTTTTGAATTGATATTGTGTACTCTTTTCCAGCTAATGAACTGTCGAAAACTTCCAAATTCTATCCGACCTTGATGTGTAATCTGCTCGAACAATTATTGCTCTATTGTAACAAGATGACTTTTGCAACTACATTAATGGAAATGGTTTTGTTGGTCTGATTAAAGCTTGCTATGCTATTAATATGTGTTTTACGACTTTATTGTTGCTCTTTAAGGTTTGAAGAATTGAAGTACAGATTTTCTTGATAAATAAGGCATTTTTTGTCTTCCTACTTCCTCACCCCCCCCCCCCCCCCCAGGCCACCTCCCACCATTCCCCCTTGATCCCACTCTACCCGGTGGTTATGGGCCTATGGCTTGGTGGTGGCAGGGAAGATGGGGGTGATAAGTGGCATAAGAGTGACAGAAAATAAATGGAGGGGAAGGAGCATGGGGGGAGGGACAAAAGAAAAGACATGGAAAGGGAAAGGGTCTGTCAACCAGGAGTGGAGCTAGACATCTTCTATCTAACTAAGCGGGTTATGCTACATTTACATAATTTTTTAATATAATTTTTTACACCCTACTCACATTGGAGGGGAAGGAGCATGGGGGGAGGGACAAAAGAAAAGACATGGAAAGGGAAGGGTCTGTCAACAGAAAGGAGTGGAGCTAGACATGATTCACAAAAAGAGTGGGCAAGAATATTTATTCATATTGAATATTTATTCATATTTAGCAGAGTAATTTTTCACTTGGTGAGTGTCTTGAGTAATTTTTTTCGCCAACTTTTATCGAAATTTGTTAAAAAAATTTCAAACAAACCCTTAATGACGATACACATTTTAAGTCTTGCTCCTTTGAGGATGCTTGTGCATATAGTAAGATCATATAGAATTCAATCGCAAAAGAGATTCGTTAACAGTGAAGAATTCAATATACCCCAACATTGTTTTAAGACAATTATATTACATGTGAGTTAAATAGATCATTTCGTTCTTCTTGTAAAGTATTTTAAATAAATAAATACACATGAGATATGAGGGTTAGAAATTTGGAAAAATTTCCTAATAAATTGGAAAAGAATTTTATCCTCGACAGATCCCACACAATCCTTTTTCACAATTGAAGATTCCACTAGCTGTAGCAGTATCAAGCCCCTGTTTGATGGGATTAAAATTAGATTTTTAACAGATTTTGATAAGAGTAGATGAAATATGTAGTTAAAAATTTGTGAATTCTCAAAAAAATGATTAAAATTAATTGTGACTCTAATCTAAATTAAAAATTAAATTTTAATCCCTGAGACATATTAAACTTCTAGATTTCCTTTTTGTCTTGGCCTTTTTTTCAAAACTCCATTCCTTTGTTACCAAACTCTCTCTCCGCCAAGTGGAACATTTTCACACCACTATGCGCAATAAACCACGAATCAAGCTACTTGTACATTCATTTTATACATCTTAATTGACATTTAATGACATGTAAAAAATTTGGCCATTGATTTAAATAAGTGGTCAAATTGTCTGTCATATCATGGAATGTCAACAAAATTGTAAATGTAGCAAAACTGCTAAACCAATGCCTTAAACTAGGGGTGGTAATTGGGTCGAACAGCTCGTTGGATCACCTCTCGACTCGTCTGAATTCGACTTATGCGCTGATCGAACTCGTCTATCAATAAGTAATTTTATTGCGTTTTTAAATCATCGAAATCCTAAAAAAAAAAGGGTCTAGAGTAATCAAGAACTTGTGAATGAACTCAGTACCCCCACCACCAGGTTCCAAGGACCTCTATTTCCCAACACGGTACTCTCAACCCTTTCTTACTCAGTGCAACGCTTGTTTTTGGAAGCAGTTTTGGGGTTATTGGAGGAATCGACAGTATAACGTCATTCATATTTTCATCACAGTAGTCATTGGAATTATATTTGCATATTTTGGAACAGGGGACAGAAGATGTAAGTTTGCAATTTCAGCGACAACAAAAGAACTTCCAGGAAAATCCAAAAAGAACAAACTTTATGAAAAGTTCATAAAAAAGCGATGCAAGTAGTCAAGTGGCTGGCTGAGAAGGAGGAGTCGCGCCAAGTCAGACGGTTTTCGACCCAACAACTTATGAAGTCTCACAGGGGCGAACCCAGACCATTTTTAACGTGTGGTCAAAAATTAAGGACGCTTGAGGGAAACTCAGGCATTCCAAGGACAGTAAACTTCAGTCATTGGAGCTCGATCGTGCCTTACCTTATACTCCAAGTTTCTATTATATCAAACACCGGCATGACATATTCGAGTATTTCAAAAACTAAAGATGAATAAACACGATAAAATATAACTCGTTGAATAAATCGGAGCAGGAAATTTTCGAAAAAAATAAATTTACCTGATAATTTTCAATACATGAACAACAACGAACATGTTAGTCATTGCAACAAGTCGGTTGGATTTTTCAAGTGAAAGAAGAACATTGTCATCAACGATAATCCTAAATGTGTGATATCCAATGAATGCTACAAGAAAATAACAAATTGCAATAACATATGCAAATATTTAGGGGTGGAATCGGGAATATTGCTTAGTGTAGATGAAATTTAATCGAGGTCGAAGTTTTTGGGGGCTTGAAACGGCCATTAAATTTGGGCCATTAAATTAAAGTATGCAATATGTATTCATATTTTTCTTAACTAGCTAATCTATGAGTTTAAAACTCAATAAACCAATAAACAAAATGAAATATTCAATCTCAAATAAAGTTCGACCATAAATTTAATGATGGTAAAAATATAAAACAATATTAGGACAAATGACATAGTTTATAAGACCAAATTGTTGAACAAAATTTGAATTTATATAATTTTTACACACTACTTAATTGATTAAATAATATAATATTCCCACTTAATGGACTCTTTCTCTCCATGTACTATTTCTCTCACAAGTTATGACTACAAAAAAAAAACTCAAATTATTTGTGGGGTCATTTGACCCCACATGAACCCATGTGGGTCCGCCCCTGAAGTCTCATACAACGAGCTTATTTTACTAAAAAATAATTTTAAGAGGTAAAACTTTTACTTATTGGCTCAAATAATAATATTCAAAAAAATTCAATAACTAATGATAAATCATATTTGTTGACATACAAAAAGTGTAGCCCAAATCGAGTAGCCCAAGGGATAAGATCCAGTTAGAAAGTTCAGGATGAAGGCCCAAATAGGACCAGTAATGAATGCAGTGGAGGCCCACGAACAAGGTACCGTCATCGCCCAAGCTTGCAAGAAGCCCAAGATCTAAGCAAGTGGAGTGACTTAAAATCGCCCAGAGCGAACGAGCCTATTCTCACCCAAACCTTCGAATCGCCCAAGATCTTAGCAAGCATAAGGCAATATGGTTATCCAGATCAACAGTTATTGAAGCGGTTATTGAGCAACATTATCACACCCCACGATTTAAGAATCACAGTTGTAGGCGGTTGAACGACGAAAGTAATAGCAACAGTTAGAGACGGCAGTTCCACGACAAATCAGCCATCATGAAGAAAGTGGGTAGTTATAGAGCAAACAAGCAGTTTCCAAACAGTTTGTCATGAAGAAATTCTCAAGGAAGTATAAAAAGAAGAGAAGATATAGAAAAAAGATCTCGAATCAAACACTCTCAAACATAGAATATATAATTTTAATTTCTTAGATTAACTTTAATTATCCCTTTGTACTCGTGTGCTTGCGCCCCTTGGAGGCATTCTGTTTATTTCCAATTGTAACTTTCATCAATAAAGCACCCATTTTTGGGATTTTGTCTCAAGAGGTTTATCCTTTACACAATCGTCTGATCTATTTTTTAATTGTTAGCGAAATCCGCGAGAAACAATATTAAATCTTCTTAAAAAAATAAAAGATGAAGAACTATAGGCTCTAACGGCACGAATATTGAGAAGCCCGTTCTCGAAAATATATTTCGAATTAAAATCACCACAAGTGTAAGGTTCGTTAACAACTAATAAAGTGGACTTTTTGAGTCCGAGTATCGTCCTGCGAAAATTGATTAGTTCAATTCTTATTACCTTAACCTTAACCGAGACTAGAATAAAATGACGTTCTGTTGTGATGAAATTATAACTAAAATAATAATAAGTATGCACTTATAAATGATTTAACTAAATTAAATGCAAATAGAGTT